AAATTGAGGACTCAACTCTCACAAGCCTGCGACTGAACAACAATTGAAAAAAATTGAGGCGAATATGAGGGCCTGACGAGATCTGGCCTGCGAACAACCGGGGTACGGACAGTCGGACAAGATGAGGCCTGTGAGCAATCTGACAAGATGAGGCCCGGACGTAAAAAATTTGCAGCAATATTGATCACCAAAATAATTTTGCGATCGAACCTTTCTCTGATACCATGATACGAGAGAGACGAGATATAATTTTGAGGAAAGATCATCTCAATCGGATGATACAACTCTTCTATTAACCAATAATATATACAAAATTAGGGCTAAACATAACCTAAGGCCAATATAGTAAATACACAAATATACACAGTAACATAACTTAAAGCTTGGCTGGTTCAGTATATATGATGACTGATTCTTCCAACTTTGTGTTTTTACTTTTTAGTAGCTCAATAAACCCTTTTTGGTTCATTTAGATGCTGAAATAAAGAAACCGTACAAATAAAATATACTATATCTTTTTGGCTATTCAGCTGATCTGCTCTTTCTTGTGCTGCAATGCACCTTCCTATTGTTTCACTAATTTTCCACATTTTTATGTGTTGGAGATATTTTTCCTCAGAAACCGTCAAAATATTTGTATTTTGTTTAAGATTTTTGGAGGAATTGGGACATTTTATTGTGTGGGTCAATGCTAAATCAAGAACTCAATGGTTCAAGGTTGGCTGTTGACTATTATATTTTCTTTATATGGATTTTTCTGTAAAAAAATATAAAAATTATCAATGTCAAAATTTTTTATATAAAATAAATGCATATAGTTTAAATGGATGTGTTTGTATTAAATATATATAAATGGTGGTTTAACATTAAGGAGATGTAGCTCAACGGTCATATTTCTAAAGCATTAAGAAATACGGGGTTTGATTCTCCGCATCTCCAAAATTAATTTTTTTCTCCATTTATTTATTGGAGAAGACTTTTCAGTTTGTGACACTAATATTAGGTTCAATTTAAAAAGAGAAAAATGGATGCCTTCTCTTTCCTTTGAACAGGGTAAAAAATGTTTGTATTTTGTTTAAGATTTTTGGAAGAGTTGAGACATTTTATTGTGTGAAGTCAAAGCTGAAACAAGAACTCTACGGTCCAAGGTTGGCTGTTGACTATTAGATTTTCTTTATATGGATTTTTCTGTAAAAATAAAAATAAAAATTATCAATGTCAAAATTTTTAATGTAAAATAACTGATATAGTTTAAATGGATGTGTTCGTATTAAATATATATAAATGGTGGTTTGAACACTAAGGAGATGTAGCTCAATGGTCATGTTTCTAAAGAATTAAGAAATACGTGGTTCCATTCCCCGCATCCCCAAAATTCTTTTTTTTTTCCATTTATTTATTGGAGGAGACTTTTCAGTTTGTGACAGTAATATGTTGATTCAATTTAGAAAGAGAGAAATAGATGGCTTCTCTTTCCTTTGAACGAGGGTCAAAATGTTTGTATTTTGTTTAAGATTTTTGGTAGAGTTGGGACATTTTATTGTGTGAGGTCAACGCTAAATTAGGGATGGCAAAACGACTTGGACCCGGCCTGACCCGGAGCGTGGGCGGACTCGACCTGCCCTGTTTATAAAACGGGTCAGGGCATGTCCGGCCCGTTATAAAAACAGGCCAGGTCCGGGTCTAATGTATTGCCCCGCCCCGCCCTGCCCCGCCCCAGCTATATATATATAGATAGATATTATATAGATATTAAATATATTATAATACATGAAGTAATTTTAGGGTTTTTGTTCACTTTTCACTCCCCCATTCCCGTTCCCCGCCTCTCATCTATCTCTGTACTGTGAAATTCGACCTCGCCAAGTCGCCAGTTGCCTCTTCGTCTCCCTCTTCTCAAATTCCCTCCACCGGCCAAGCCCACACCACCCACCGTCCGCCTCTCCTTTCACACAGTCTCGCCTCTCCTCGCCCTCAGCTCGACACGTCGGCTCAAAGGCTTCTCGCCGGCGCCTCTCCTCGATGCCTCGTCGCCTCCGACGCCTCGTCGGATCAAATATATATTTTTGCTGAAATTTTTGGTAGAACATTAGACGGGACAGGTCTGTTGGGATTTAATGTTGGATTTGTTTTTGTTAGTCTGTTGGGATTTAATGTTGGATTTGCTTAATTTATTATGTCTATTGGGATTAATGATATTTGAATCTTATGAGAAATGCTGAATTAATTGTGAATTGTTGATGAATTCATTGTTAAAATCATGCTTTTGTTGTTTTTTTTTTTTGTTGAATTCATTGTCGGTGGGTGAGATTCACGTTCCTTCTCCCTCGGGTGGAGTCCGGCGGCTTGCTGTTTTAGGTGGCTCTGGTTGGGGGAGGTGGTCGCTTGTCCTCGGTGGTTGGGGCCTTGAAGCCTCCCCTCGGTCTTTTGCAGGGAGTGTCTCTGCCGAAGTTCGGGTGTTGGGGAAATCCTCCGGCACGGTGGCGTTGGGACGGCGGTGGTCAAGGGATGGGGTGGGGCTCCGGTGGCCTGTGATGGTGCTGCAGGAGTAGAGTATGTGGCTGCGAGCAGCCCCTATTCTCCGGTTCTGTTGCGACTTGGCCGGAGTCCGACGCCCCTGCGCAGTCTAGTGGTGTTAGGTGCGCTTGGGGTGTGCCGGTTAGGGGAGGCTCAACAGCCTGTACCCTCGGTTGGCGGCAATTCGTCTCGTGGTTTGGTTCGGGGGCGGGGGTTCGGTTTCTGTATAGGCTTAATTGCAGTTTCGGGAGCTGTTCCTTGGCTAGGGGCCGAACTGTGATTCGGTTGCTGCTTGTTCGGGATCGTCTTTCTTCGGGGGAGGGTGTAGTTATTAGTTATTAGGTGTTTGTGTGTTTTTGTCTTGTTTGCGGTTGTTTGTTATTGTGCATTGTGATTGTGTTTTAGGTTTGGGCCTGTTGGCCTCGGTGCATCCGGGTGTCAAATTTATTACCCTGTGGGGGTCCGACACTCGGATATTACCCTGTGGGGGTCGTGTGTTGTTGTTTGGTTGTTTGAGTTGTGTTTTCGTATTACCCCTTGGGGGTCGTATCTAGTTCTAGTTTGGAGTTTTTTTGTTCTAGCACTTGCTAGCCGGGTATCTAGGCGGTCTCATGACCTGTCCTCCCACTTTTCAGCCTTGGGCTGCTTGTATTTGCACTTTTGTGCGATTTTTGTTATATAATATCCTCTATCGTTTTGGGAAAAAAAAAGAATACTAAGGAGATGTAGCTCATCGGTCATATTTCTAAAGTGTTAAGAAATACGGGGTTCAATTCCCCGCATCTCCAAAATTATTTTTTTCTCCATTTACTTATTGGATTTTGAAGCCTCCAAAAAAAATCTTATCATCATCATCGTCGTCATCATCATCAGCTTCATCTTCAAAGCGTTCTCCCCACTTCAGTATCAGTGAAAGCTCCGTGGCCGAAAATGGCCCTCTCAACGGCCAAGCTAACCGAGCTGCCACCGCACCTGCTGTCTACATTCTCCATACCCCGCCGCAAACCTCCGCATTCCGCTTTCCGATTCTTCAAACCCTTGTCTTCTTCTCTCCGCTCCACCAACAACACACCCAAAACCCCGTCCAAAAACCCCGACGTAACCGAAACTTCTTCTTCCTGGATCAAAAAATGGCCTTCGCCTCCTCCGAAACCACCGCCGGCTCCGAAATCGAGCTCGAGAAAGCCCCGTCATCCTAAAACCCAAACAGCTCCGATGGGTACCACGGCTATCGATAGAATTGTGCTTCGGCCGGTTGAGGAATTTAGGTCTTGGCTGCGATGACGAAGGGGAAGAAGACGAAGAAGGAGGGCAGTCGGGAACAAATTCTGGTTCGGGTAATGCTGATTTTGGGGATGAGAAACTAGGGGATTTGTTAAAGAGGGATTGGATTAGGCGGGACAGTATTTTAAGGGAGGATGAGGGTTATGACTCTGATGCGCTGTTGCCGTGGGAGAGGGGTGTGAATGAGGATGATGAAGTGGCGGAGGATAGCGGGGGAGCTAAGAAGCGGGCCATGCGGGCCCCTACTTTGGCCGAATTGACGATTGAGGATGAAGAGTTGAGGAGATTGCGGAGAATGGGGATGACTCTGCGGGAGAGGATCAGCGTGCCTAAGGCCGGGCTCACAGGTGCTGTGTTGGAGAAGATTCATGACAAGTGGAGGAAGTCTGAACTTGTGAGGTTGAAGTTTCACGAAGAGTTGGCACACGACATGAGGACTGCACATGAGATAGTTGAGGTTGGTGAGTTCTGATGTTGGGCACGTGTCTTTTTGCTCTATAGTTTGTTTAGTCAGGTAGCTATGGAGGGACATGGAGTCGAACACGACAGTTATGTCAAATTTTGTGTATTACGTGTCAGATAAAGTTAAAACAATGATTAATTAATTTCACAAAACATTTTTAATAATGTACTATGATTAGGTACGTTGCCTATCATTTAAAATATTGACAATTACTTACATAATTAATTAATTAGCAAGTGAGTTGTAAAACTACTAATTTATCGTTTGGAGGTGATGTGCAAATTATCACTGAATCAGAAAATCGGCTATTTCACGAACCGTATGTAAACCCAAGTTTCGACGACATATATTAATTGTTTCTATTGTTTGTAATTGATGTTACATACTTTTTTGCATCATTTAGTTGGTAACAACCACTTAAAGGATGTGGTGTTACAACTCCATCACCATTAAGTCCATTTAGTATGGAGTTATGGAAGTGAGTTATGAAGTGAATTCATGTCTTCAATGAATAGTTGTATTAAGACAACTATAAATAAGATGCTTTTGTATATTGAAAAGTGGACAATACGAGATAAAAAAAACAAGTTAAGAAAATACATAATCTTTATAGTGCTTTTCTCTTGTTGAGCCGAAACCATCAAGGCGGCTCGGGTTTTAGAGCGTGGAGGATACCGACGACTCTAGTAGCCATCGGATAAAAGATACGGGCAAGTTTTCGCTTCCGCTACATAAAGGTTAATCCTATATATATATTTATATATGTGTTATATAAAACCACTAACAGTTTCGGTGACAGTAAAATAGATCATATTAGAGATCTCACTAATATTTATGGATTTCGCGGAAAGTTTTACGAATTGTGGATTTCGCGGAAAGTTTTTCTGCCCAAAACACAAACCAATAATGGTAATATAGATTGATTTATATAAATATAAATATGAATAATTTTATAAAAAATAATTAACATATATACTCAATATTTGTATGTAAACAGTTCATTCGAACTAATACTTTTAAATTTTACCAATACTTAAGTTTATGAGTATAATCAATATACCATCTAAATTGTATCAAATAACCTTATTTTATATGTATCTTATAATATTCGTTTATGAATTTGTGCAAATATGCACATGCCAAATTTCTAGTTACATATTATAATCTAACTAATAGACGCACCTCCATAAATTGAGAACAAGCAACTTATTCATATCCACATCCTATGATAAATACATAAATACCAATAAATAGATAAATCAATCAATCAATTTTCATGATTGTATATTTAAGAACTCACCTTAATAAGTTTAACTAATTTCAAATTTCAATGAGGTGAATAAGTTTAACTAATTTCAAATTTCGTGGCACCCGTAGGGCTTTGACCTTTAATGAGTCAACATGTAATAAATAAAATAAAAAAATAAATTGAACAAAAAACTGTGAAAAAATTACTTGGCGTCCAAACCAAGATATTTATTTACTATCGCACGTAATAAGCATCCGATTAAGTTGCCTATAGAGTCTCGGTCACCATTGACCAAGCGCCTATATAAGTTACAAACCCACGTTTCCCTTTCGAGTCCACGAAAAAGAAAAAAAAAAGGCAATATCAAAATCAAAATCCATGGACATCCAAACCGCCGCCCCATCCTCCGCCGCCGCGAAGACTGCCTTTCTCATCATCAACTGCCTCATACTCGCCGTCGGAAACACCGCCGGTCCTCTGATCATGCGACTCTACTTCATCCACGGCGGCAAGCGGATCTGGTTCTCCAGCTGGCTCGAGAGCGGCGGCTTCCCGGTCATCCTCATCCCCCTCGCCGCCTGCTACGCCCGCCGCCGCCGTGAATCCGCCGGCGCCAGGCTCGTCCTCATGGACCTCCGGCTTTTCGTCGCCGCGGCGGTGATTGGCGCCCTGACCGGTCTCGACAACTACTTCTTCGCGTACGGCATCGCGAAGCTCCCGGTCTCCACCTCCACCCTCATCATCGCGTCGCAGCTGGCGTTCACGGCGGCGTTCGCGTTCCTCATCGTGCGGCAGCGGTTCACGGCGTTCTCCGTCAACTCCGTCGTCCTCCTGACGGTCGGCGCCGCCGTGTTGGGGCTCCACACGAAGAGCGACCGGCCGCCCGGGGAGACGAGCCGGCAGTATTGGGTGGGGTTCTTCATGACGGTGGCGGCGTCGGCGCTGTACGGGTTCATACTGCCGCTGGTAGAGCTGACGTACAAGCGGACGAAGAAGGAGCTGACGTACGCGCTGGTGCTCGAGATACAGCTGGTTCTGTCCATCTTCGCCACCGTGTTTTCCACGGTGGGGATGCTCATCAACCACGATTTTCAGGTGAGAGAGAGGTTTTTTTACGCAATTCGAAATAATAACCGCATCTGATTTTGCCGTTACGCTTAGGATTCACGCAGATAACATAATCCTGTAGTTTTCTATTTTAATTCATTCATCACGCTTATTAGCATCAAATGTATTTCCCCAAAATTATGAAACATGCCAGTAAATTAGGTCAATTGCCAAATTAGCCAGTAAATTGGGTCAATTGCCAAATTTATTGAGAAAATGCACACAAAATCAAGCACAGTTCTTCAAACCTGCAGTAAAATTATGAAAAATTAGTTACATTTTCTGAAATCACAAAAATGAGTGGGGTCAATCTAGTTACATATTCTGAATTGACAATTTTAACTATATCTGTTCATTTTTATCTACAGGCAATTGCAGGAGAAGCAAAAGCGTACGGACTAGGGGAGTCGATATACTATGTGGTGGTTGTTTGGGGAGCCATACTATGGCAGTGCTTTTTTTTGGGAGCTATTGGTGTGATTTTCTACTCGTCTTCGCTGGTGGCAGGCATTGTCATGACTGTGGTGCTCCCCGTAACTGAAGTATTGGCTGTCATTTTCTTCAAAGAGAAGTTCCAGGCAGAGAAGGGCGTATCTTTGTTCCTCTCCTTGTGGGGTTTTTTTTCCTACTTTTACGGCGACATAAAACACAACAAAAAGAGCGGGAAAAATGAGGTCGGTGTTGAGAATGAGAATGAAGGAGAAGCCCAGTTGGGTGTTTAAGCTATATGACTGAAATTCCTTGATAAAATTGATTGATTGATTTCATTGATTCGAGTTAGTGATAGAAATTTTTTGGTTGCTGAGTTCTTTTTATATAGTTTTAGGATATTACCAGATTTTGAAGTAGAGAGTACAGTATGAGTACTATCATTGGTTTTGTTTGTTTGGCTGGCGAAGTACAATACAACTACTGTTTGCTGTATAGGCGATTGTGTTGTAGGAAAACTAATGATCGTGCACCATATCTGCTTTCGAAAATTAATCCAAATGTTATCTTTCTTTTTTGAACAATCAAATTGATGTCTAATTCATCATGCATGAATCTTGATCTTTTCTTTTCCCCTTTCTTTCAATTACTGCCCCATCATTAATTAACTGTTGACATGCTTTTGATTTATTTGGAAGCGAATAACATTAACATGATTATGCTTTCCTCTAAAGCTTTTCACATGAAAAGCAATTCACAAGTTATTGTTTGAGTCAGCTAAACTAATTAGTCCGGTTGATCTCTCATTGCTTATCACATGCTTTTGTTTCAAAGTTTGACATTTTTTTAATGAAAATATACATATTTATTAAAAATGTATGTTATGCCAGCCTACACAAGATCAATATGTATGTGATCAACTCTGCAAACTTTATTTTCTTCTAAAGACGCGCGTCATCTTAGGTCTCTATTGATTCTATAAGTTTTATTTTATTCTAATGACGCACGTCATCTTGATTCTTGGATCTCTATTGGTTCTATAAGTTGTAAAATTAATTAAAATCTTGGGTTAATTGCAACTAAAATCAGAACCTTTTGCTTAATTGCAAATAAAATTCAACCTTTTCAATTTGGCATAAAAATAGTAAACCTTTATTAACCGTTGCAATTTTGTCTCGAAAGCAAATTCCGACCAACCGACCGTGACATGGCAATCGGAAACACAAGGCGGTGACCTCAAATTCTTCTTTTTTCTTCCTCAAATTCTCGAAGTCCATTCCTCTTCTCCACGCCCTCGCTCAGAGCTCCCGACAACCGTCGGCGGCGGCCAGAGGTGGCGGCCTGAACTGAAAACACAAGGCGGTGACCTCGCGGAGTGCGCCGGCGATGGAAACACAAGGTCGAGAGCAAGGATTTAAGGGGCGATTTTTTTATCTGGATTTCGAGAGCTTGGAGAAGGTGAGGAGTGAGAGAGTTTCAGAATTTTCCTAAGGATAGGGGAGAGCAAAATGGGGAAAAAGGTTCGGGTCTCAACTACGAGTTCTCGGCTCTCGATTCTGGGAAAAACGAGCCCGATTTGCTGCAGCCTGGACACCCATACGGGCTCGAAAGCTGCTCGACTGCCACTGCTCGAGCTCCCAGTGGCCGCTCGGAACAAAGGTGCCTCAGCCCGCTGCCTTCGATCACAGACGCCGACTCTCGTTTACGTCGGGTCGAGAGTTTCGGCCCCGAACAGTAGAACTCCTCATTTGTCGAATAACGGTCGGTCGTCGCTGTTCACTCGCGGCTGTCGGTGGTGGAAATGGTGACCCTAGGTTCGTCGGGAAATTTGCGGCTAACAGGACGAAATTGGCTCACCTCGTCGAAAGAAAAAGGACGCTCGGCGACTGCTTGCTCACGGCTACCGCCGGTGGTGAAACGACGGCGGCTGAGGGTGGATGTTCGTGGCTGATCGACGGCGACTCTCATTGGTCGCTCGCGAATCTGGTCTCCTGGTTCGTCTTTGATGATGTCCAATCGCGAGGAAGATCTCCCGGCGAATCTGGACACCCGTCGCTCGAGGTGTTTGCAGGCGGTTGGCTGGTCAATCCATTCCAAGAATAAATTGGAAGGGGCTGGAGGAGAGCAGAACCAGGCGGCGGCTCGGCGAATCGGCGACGTGCGGCAGCCGCAGAAGGAGAACAAATTGGAATATTTTTTTTTTTTTTTTGAGAAAATGGGGGTGTGACTTGGAGGTTGACGTGTCTGATGACGTGGCACTGAATATTACATTTTAGGTGCCACGTCAATTTTCTGATCGGACATGTTAGTGCCCCTTCGCCGGAATTCAGTTTTGAGACAATTATGCAATACTTAATAAAAGTTTGTATTTTTTTTGCTAAATTTAAAAGGTTGAGTTTTATTTGCAATTAAGAAAAAGGTTGTGATTTTTTTGGCAATTAACCCAAAAAAACTTATACAAAGTAACGAGTATTAAGCATGAGCATATGCACTTGTTACTAAAAATAAATAGATACTCCCTCCTATTTTTATTATTTGTCGTTTTGAGAAGCAACACGCTAATTAAGAATATTTTCTTGCCAATATTAACCCTATTTAATGAATACTAGTACGTACCCCGTGCGATGCACGGGAGAGAGATATTAAATGAATTATTTTCACAGGTGTTGATATCCGGATCGGGCTCCCATAAAGATAACGATCCGAGAGACCGGGAACCGGGCGAGGCCGGCCCGGCTAGTGGGGCCGGTTACCACGTCAATTAGTAGGTGCCGAGCTGAGTATGAGTCAAAGTCAACTGGAGTGGCGGACCACGTCATACCCCGAGGTCAGCACCTCAGTGCTCCCGTTATGGAGCCGACCAGCTCGGATATGGGGTATGGAAGACCAGAGGACGGGCAGACTGTCATAGCCCGGCTCGGGATCCTACCAGCTCGGCCCTCGTAGGGGTTAAAGATCCAGGAAGCAATTAAATAAGGCCACTTGTCAATCAATGATTGCTGATGGGACATTCCAGACTAGCCTGCAGGTCTAGGAAGTCTAGCCCGGCCGAGGAGCATGTCCGCATTAATTGCAACCCATACCAGCATTAACTGCGTTGCAGATAATGATTGGAAGATCCCTAAATCACTCTCAGTCAGTCAGAGAAACGTCGGCCTGTCTTGCCGAGTTACTGTACGACAAGACCCATGAACCGTACCCAACAGTATCACATTTAAGAACCCTATAAATAGAAGTCTCGAGCATTTATTTTGGGTGGTTGAATCCCAACTGTCTTGACTCTCTCTACACTCTCTCTCTAAACTTGTAAGAAATCTGTGTAAGAATTTGTAAGGATATCGCAAGTGCCGACCTCGTACGAGAGGCCCACCTCGTGATCAGTTTAATAAAATCATAATTAAACCTTATTTCTTTGTCTTTTCCTCGCTATCTTTTTATTATTTACCTTTTTAACCGTTGACCGAAAACGCCCGTCAACAACAGGCCCTGTCCGTTTAAGTCTGAGAAGAGTTATTATCCATCTTCCACCTATTTTAATCACCGTTAAGTCTCGTTTAAGTTTGAAAAGAGTTATCATCTATTTTCCACCTCTTTTAATCACCGTTAAGTCTAAAAAAATAGGGTTGTAATCTATTTTTCACATCTTTTAATCAGCGTTGTTTTACTAGTCAGAACATTAAACGTGAGCATGTTAAGGCTAACTTGTAAAATAATTAATATATTATCTCACTAACACATTTATACTAATATAAATTTAATTTTATTATATATATTTATTCCTTGATATAAGAGAAAATAACAATTTTACTTATTCTTATTCACTATATAATAGTTAATTATTAAACTCTGTTGCCATATAATGTCATTATTATATATAAAGTTATACAAGTTACACGTCTTCCTGTTCTTTTTATTTTATGTAATGAAATATATTTAATGCACGTTCGTATTATTTATATAAGTAATCAATTTAAAATATGTAAATAAATTTAAAATTAAATAGTGTATAAATAATGTACAAAATATGCACATATATTTTTTTAGAATTTAATTTTGTATACTAATTAAACAACTTTGATTTAAGAAAAGTCATGAACTCAATCTCTTATAATATCAATATTTTTCTAATTTGCATTGTAATGATTATTCTTATTATATATATAGATTAGAATTTTTGCGACATCAACCAAACTAAATATCACAATAACCAAGTAACAATTATGAAAAAACCCGTAACACAACAACTATCAATTAAATTTGGTAATAGAAAAATTACATACATATATATAAAAATATAAGGATTCTATATTTCTATTAACTGATGTATACACCATGTGTATATTTTGTTAAGGTATATTGGAATGTTCAATTTCATAGCATGATAACGATCAGTCTTAAAAAATCGAAAATCTTATTGAAATGCCATATTTTTCTGTTAAAAAAAAAAAGTTCCCATAAAAAATAATTATATCATAGAAAATTCATTGTGTAATTGAACAAATTCTATAATGAAGCCCGATTTTCTGTACAAAAATAAAGCAACAACTTCCACATTTTAAGGAAATCAATTAATGTTGATCCGTTTTTGCTAAGAAAATAATAAATAAATAAATTGTAATTAATGGAAAGTAATTAATAATGAGATAATTTGATCATATCTGTTTTTAAAAATCGTAACAGAAAAACAAATATTAAATAAAAACTGTATAATACGGAAATAGTAATGGCAATAAATGTTGTTGACTTTTCTAGCTATTAAATTTGGTAATAGGACTACCTTTAATATAAGTATAGATTATGGGAAACAATGAAGATGGGATATGAAGAGATACTGTATATTAGATGGAGGGTTAAAAATGAAAAAATATGAACAAAATAGCCAAAACGACATTTATTTAATCAATGATCAATTAGCCAGAGTGACGAATAATAAAAATATGAGGGAATATTATATATAAAGTTTTAATTAAAATAAAATTTTATTTAATAGTGTGTGTTTGTGTGTGTGTGTATGTGTATTAATAATGGACTCCCTACAAATGAAAAGATAAAATAAACAATATAGTTATGATTTATTTTTATTAATTTATTCCCTAAGAAAAATTGAAAATCTATATATTACTTTACTTCTAATAATTTACTTAAAAAATTAATTTTATTGCACTAATTAAAATAGTTAAAAATGAGCATGAGTAATTTAAAAATCAAATGTTAAATATAGTTACAATATTGTAATGGTTACATAAAAAATATAAAAAAATACATACAAATTAACACATGGTGCACATGTATTATATAATTTTAAGTTATAACCTTATTACTTTTATTAAATAAGAAAATATCAATTACAAACTTAAAGATGTAAACACAAATTACATGATAGTTGAAACATACTGAAAATAACTAAAAAAAATAGGCAGAAAAAAGTAAACAAGTGAAGATACCCAACTAAGGACGAATCAGGCCGAAGTGTTTGGATCACTTGGCCTAGGTCGAGAAAACAGGTCCCCACCCAACCGAAATTCATTTTCATAGGGATTATTGATAAGTCAAAAATATGTGTCGATTTAGTGAATTAATTTAGGATTTATATTAGATATTTGAGTTTAATTGACATATGTTTGACATTATCTTGTATTTTCGAGTGGAAACTACCGGTGTTCGAATTTCTGTGCAGATATAAGGCTTTTTAGCATGTCAAATGAAAGATTCAACTTTGGAGCAATTGAGAGTTTGATGTGCCTGGGAAGAGAAAACATTTATAACTAACATGGCAGTGTCGGAATTACAGTTCAAATGTAACATGGCCATGTTGGTATATTCTGGAGCCTATTAACTAAAGCCCATGAGCAGTATATAACGTGACAGCCACAAGGAATAGAGAGGACGGATCTGCTAGGGATCTGCTTGGAGCAGACACGCAAGAACAGAGCACAACATCAACGGCTCTCCCTTCTTCTTTTCTTCTTTTCTTCATTATTTTTCTTTTCTTTTGGATTATTTTATGATAGCCCTGCGCGGCTAATTTATCTTTGTCTTGGTTGAAGACGATCGAAACCCAGACCTACTACTATGAGATCGAATTAGTTTTTATTCCAATTCATATATTTTCCGCATCCATGTTTTGTGTGCATATTTTTATGATTGTTATGTGTAGTTAATAGATTGGTCACCTATTATTCTATGCTTATGATCTATTGCTTGATTGATACTTGAGTCGGATTTAGATCATGTGTCTTTCACTAGAAGCAACTAAGATAGATGATTGATCGGATTTAGGCATTGTCGTTCTTAGGCGAAATAATTGAACAAGTTAATATTAAACGGATTAGTTATTTATTGCTTGGACTGTCGGTCTCTTGTATTTAATGTTATTGCTAGAATAATTCTTCACGATGTTGGGAATTAACTAGTTATAAGAGTCTCGTAGAAGGATTTATTTTGCGTGACTAAACCAGGAGATGGAATTTATATTCAACGGCAGTTGCGTGGATTGTGAGTTTATATTTTTGCATCAATGATTAGTGGAACAGTCTAGGGTGAAAATCAATTCAACCAAGGCATATTCATATTATATGTATTTTTGTTTATTTAGTTTTGTTTTATTTATTTGTTAGTTTGATAGGTAATTTCTAGTTTAATTAGATCATTAATTCAAAAACCCCTTCTTTGATCACATAGTTAATAGATTTAGTTTACTTCTCCCCGTGGATACGATCCTTGCTCACGCTACTACATATTTTTAAGCAAGGTTAATTTGGATGCCTACGACAGCACGACTAATTATGGTCACACTACGGACGAATGCAAACACTTGAATGATGAGATTGAAAGACTGATGGGTTGATCACTTAAAAGAGTTCATATACAAAGACACGAGGAAAAAGGTCAAAGAAGAGAAGAAAAGGGAAAGCGACCTTGGGAGCTTGAGGTCAAGTGAGTTTTTTTTAGTTAACTATGGTTAATTTAGAAAAAGTAGTATAGTTAGTTGTTAGTAGAATTTTGAGTTATATTAAAATAGTATTTGAAATAAAATAATTAAAATTGATTTGATGTAAAAGTAGGAGAGAGATGATATCAAGTGATGGTTAGTTAAAATTATGTGAGTGGGTGAATACTGAATTAAAGTTGATATGATGTGTAAAAATGATTGGTGGTTATTATTTAATGATTGGTTGTTATTATTTAGTTATGTTCATAATATTGATGATAGTGGGTTGAGTTAAATTTTTTTTTAATAACACCCCGTGAGGGATGGGGGTTAAGGCCGAACCCCAAACCTGTATATAAAAGGCCATAAATGGGTTGAAAAGTCACAGAACCACTGTTCGATGTCTTAATAAACTGGGGTTGAGTTAAAGTTGAGTTAAATTTTGAGTATGAATTAATTTGGATTGAGTAAATCCTTTTACAAACATAGCCTAAGGCTTTCTAGCTAGCCGATTGCTTGTTCGAACGACCTCAGAGACAAGTTGGACAAGTGTTAGCATTGATGGCAAAAAAATCAGCATGATTAAAGCTTTCGAGTTGGTCGATCGCTTGTTTGAATATCCTCATAAGCAGATTGGGCAAGTGTCATACACATTCTGACTTAATCATCGGAGTCTATATACCGGGATTACTCCCAGCACTGTTTTGCAGGTACATCGAACCGGTTGAGAGCAGATTCAGGTCGTTCAAGTTCGTTTGCAAACAGTAGATTACTGCAACATATGTTGCACAATGTCAAAATTGCCCCGCATAAAGATTAAGCAATTTGTTGTCTTGTTTGAAGAAAATATTTGTTCCAATACGTATTCTATTTTTATTCTATTAGATTAATAAATTTATAAAATGTATGTTTTTCAATAAAAAATAACAGAAGATCTTATCTCGACTTTTGCTGGAAAAAAAAGGAAGAAATAAATATATCATTGACATGAGGTCAAGGGTTCAAGCCCCCCGGAGCGCAATGGTGGAACAATCAATACTGATGATTACAAGCGGCAGTGTGGGAGGCTGAAACTCGGTGGGAACCAGCGGCTGGATAGGTGGGGCCAGCATGAAGTTGCATGAAGTTGGGGGGGCCAGCATGAAGCAATCACTTCGGTGGGACCCTGCGGCTGGATAGGTGGGGCCAACTTGGAGCTGGGAGATCCAGCGAGCAATCACTTGGGGATCGACTCCTTGTGCGTGGTAGTTGAGCGTATGAACCTGAGAGTCATTGCGTGGCTACCGCAGTTTAATTGGAGGCAGTTTCTGAAGGGCCGAGAGCTGTTTCCTTGAGGACTAATCGGACGCAAGCCTGAAATCTCGATGTAAAAAATAATAATAATAAAATAAATAAATAAATAAATGGTGAGGAATGGGTCAATGGTCGTGTCACCATCACCATTGGACGAATAATGTATATCTTGTTAGTTATATATTATTTATTATATAAACAAGAAGTCAAATTTTTATTTCATAATGCGGTGCTTACTTTACTGCTGTCCAAGGAGACAATAGTCATCTCTCGGTGTTTATATATTATTATTTCCCTTTGCATAGTTTAATAATGCCAGTGCTTACTCAACTGCTGGCCAAGGAGACTTTCCACATTCCTTCACAATTTTGCACCCAATGAAATGAAACAAGCAAAATATTACTCACTCCTATTCTTTTTAAATGTCATTTTAGCTTTATTAACTATTAACTAAAATAAATATCGTTTTGGATCTTTTGTACATATTTTTCCATTATTACTCTCATTTAGTTAATAAATACATTACGTCTTTTCATATTTTCTTCATCTTTTTTTTTTTATAATATTCATCTCTATTTTCATTAATGAGGGTTATTATTGATAAAAAAATTATACTTAATTAATGTACAAACATTTATTATGAATAGAAAGGAATATAATCTTTTTGCAATCTTAAAGTCCAATGATGAATATAGTTACATGAAAACTCCACATCATTGCATAAAAGCAGTGGACTTATTACGTACTATTGGTGAATTGGAAGTCAAGCAGTGGACGGTGGACCCACGGTTAAACGGCTCGCCTTATCTTATATTTTTGAACAATAACGTTTATTTGGTGTTAAATGTGATAATTTTATTAATTTTGTTTTGTTTATAATAATAATAATAGTAATATTATAACAGCAATAATAATAATAATAAGAATAAGAATAATAATAATAATATAATAATGTTCATCATGTAAAGATAAAAATTTTGGGCCATTGAAATTATGTAAAATTCTTGGACTTTTCAGTACTCCTATCTAAAAGTAGGAAACAAAAACAAAGAAATTTTGTACAGATATTCGCTAAGGAATCGGTCAAGCTTTGTCAGTGGCCACGGTTCACGGGAACCATGTATGTACGACGTGTAAATAATAATAATAATAAATAATAATAATAATAATAATAATAATAGTTACTGTTATTTAGTTGGTTAACTTGGTTTAGTCAAAGACACAAGTCGAATATTCTGCTACTAAGAATAATTATGTTTGATTTAATTTTTGGAACCCACATGAACGTCAATTTCACAATAAATTTAAAGTTGAAAATGCCAATTTCATCATGAACCGTCATATTAAAAGGCTAATATCAAAATTTAATAGTGGTGCTTGTATAG